TAAAATAACAAACATAATCAACCCACCCAACCCCAGCTAGGGAGAAGTGTAAAAATCGAAGATAACCAGTTAAGAAAACATACCGTGTAATAAAATCCTTAAAAAAAACGGCCTCTGATTTGAATGTTTCTCCCCTCTTAAGACCATTACTTATAGTCTATTTACACCATTTGACACTCACTAAATATATACATTTTGCCCACAAATATACTACTTTCAAGACAACAAAGATTAACTAATAATGTCTCGTGCCACACATTAGTCGGAGGGGTGGGTATGGGGGTAGGGGTATTTTGAAAACCGTTATAAATTGATTTGGTGGGCGGAGTAGGAGGAGGGGGGGGTGCCTTGGTAACAGAAAAGGTCAAGTTGTAACTCTTAAATGTTAAATCTCGATAAGCTCCCAAACTTCCAGTTTGATCGTCGCACAAAAAGAAACAAAATTCCATCTTACCGCCATCCCTTCTTATTACCCCCCCCCCCCCCCCCCCCCTTGATAAAATCTATATTATTTAGAAGGCTACCCCCCTTCCTCCCCCCACCTCTTGATAAAATAACAAACCAGCTGCAATATTGACAGGAATGAGTTATTGCAGTTACGCGGGACCCTTCATAGAGCTAAAGAGCTAATAAAAGCCGAGTCCTTGGGAATAATGCAGAGGAAATTAGGCGGAATTAGAGCAAGCTGTTGCAGACAGTAGTATGCTAGGCTGAACAGTGAGCCGGCTCCCGGTATTTATCTGAACGCATGGTCTAGTTTCATTTGGTGAGTTGTCTCCCGTCGTTCCATTTGAAGGGAACAGCTGATCCCACGAAGGATGCTGGATAGAGAGAGAGAGAGAGAGAGAGAGAGAGAGAGAGAGAGAGAGAGAGAGAGAGAGAGAGAAGGTAGAGGGGAGAGAAAAAGAGAGAGAGATATGGTGCAAGGGAGAGGGAACGAGCGAAAAATAGTGAGGGACAGGGAGAGAGATAATAGGGTGAGACAGCAGAGAGAGACAGAGATAGATAGATAGATAGATACATACATAGATAGATGGATAGATAGATAGATAGATAGATGAATACATAAATACATTGATAGATAGAGAGAGAGTGAGTGAAAGAGAGAGAAAGAGAGAGAGAGAGAAAGAGAGAGAGAGAGAGAGAGAGAGAGAGAGAGAGAGATCTCAATAAAGCACTTGCACACTTATCTTTAACTAGCTGGGTCCCCTTTCGATGAAAGGAATGGTCGGTGCATTAACATCAACTGAAAGTCATTGGCCTACTCTATTTACACGCTACTGGAATGGAGCAATAATTCTTGAGAGATGCATGCGCCTCGCGAAATATCACTTCCGGCACTTCAACTGTGGAGTACAGCTACGCAGATTTGTTTCGTTTTTTTCAGTGGCATAATCACAAAGGCCAAAGAAGAGCTGGAACTTTTTTTCAAATATATTGTTCTAAATTCAGGAAATTAATAAATCAAAAATTGGGTTTCATCATGGGGACCTATCTGTCTTTTTGCAGATACTTGCCAACTTTCAACTCTGTTGCTGTCGTAGTTTTATGGGAAAAGTGACACATGTGTTTCCAAGTTTCCAAAAGATTTACCAAAACTTTATTCGAAAAAAAAAGGACCCCAAATCGTCGACAAGTAAATGTTTGCAGCAGTTTATTTTCGCTGCCCAAAAAGAAAGGCCGTTTAACTCACAAAGGTCACAGAATGATTTGATTAGCGCTCTGCTATTCCCAGAGCGCTTTCAGATCAGCCTCAACACAAAGTATAATGTCAGGCTGGATTGCAACAGTGCGTGAATGAATTAGGTTAATTCTCCTCAGCGTAGCCATTATGGCAACCTGTTGGAACTGGGGATGCTTCATTAAGGCAGCTCTTAAAATAGTTATGATGCAATTTTAATCTCAACGGGAGTATTTTGTGTATTTTGGCCAAAGTTGATTGGTCTGAATACACTAAACGAACCCTGTGCATATTGTGGTGAAAATGGGTATTACGTAAAAAGGTTTGGAATTGAGTTTGTTGTGAATGTGAGTATGTTTGTGTCCATGTGGGCGGGCAAAAGTGCGTGTGTGAGTGTGTACATATGTGTGTGTGTGTGTGTGTGTGTGTGTG